CACGTGAGATACAATGGCCCTTGTTCATGGTGAGAATGCTGAAGACTTGGTAGTAAAAGTGAGACAGATTTATTTTCACTTCAGCAGAAGCCAGGTGTCAGAGTGGCAAAAATGGCCAGTGTGCAGATTTGTCACACTGTGAGGCCATGCACATTTTGTAGTCCCCAATCTGAAGATTCCTGCCATATTGTCTTAGCAGACCGTTATCCCCACCAACCCAGGCACATGGCTGGCAACCCTGTGGGAGCAGGCGCTCAGGGACACCCAACACAGCTTTCCTCCTAAGAGTTCTTCCTCTCTGACCCAGGGGCCTGGTGGTTTCTGCCAACACCCACACACCTGTGCCAGTCTGGCCTGTTTCTTCTGCAGAAGGGGAAGTGGTTCTGGCAAATGCTTCCTCAGCGATTACTGTTTTATCTCTCTTTGAAGCCTGTCCTGGAACTCACTCTGTAGACCAGGCTGACCTTGGAACTCAGAGATCCGCCAGTCTCTGCCTCCTGAGTGAGGGGATTAAAGGTGTGCAGGCCTGGCTTGTTGTAGCTCTTGTGTGCAGCCACCATGGCCCCAAAACCAAAGTGGACACACACACCTCCACACTGTGCCTAATCAGTGTCTCCATCCCTTCCTCAAAACCATCTTTACCAGGTCTCTACTTCCTCCCAGAACCCACAGGGCAGGGTCTCTGGATGCTCCCCATTTCTCTCCATTTCAAAATGCTCCCCACCAAGTCGCTCTGCTCCTTGTCCCAAGCAGAGGGAACCATTTTCTCTCTCAAAGCCAGTCTCAGTCCTTGCTTCTGAGTCAGCATGTCCTGGGGGGTCCATGTCCTGTTGTCTCTCTAGCAGGAAGGTGTTCAGGGTTGGTTTGCAGGTTGCTGAGCTGGAGCTCAGGTTCTGCCAGCCCCTTCCCTGCAGATACAACTAAGGTCGCCTATCCCTAATCCTACAACCTTGGTCCCCAATGCTCACGGTCCTTGTCCACCCAAACATTCTCACACTGGCTCACTTTCTGCCCTCTGCTGCTAGTGTGTGACCTTGGGGAAAAGTCTGCCATTCTCTGGACCTTGGGTTGGACACATAGCTGCTGTCCCAGTGCAGCTCTGCCCTAATTTATGACACTGAAGAGCAGTGTTCACTTAGGTGGAAGCACATGGAGGCAGGGGTAGAGCACGACTCTCTCCTCCCCTGCCATCCAGGTGCCCAGGGCACAGGACTGCGTGGACCTAGGGCACGGGCACTGGTTCCCAAGGGGTCAAAGTTCTAGCTATTCCTGTGTTGATATGGCAAGACCTGTTGACAGACCACGAGGTTCAACTTGGCGGATTTATTGGGGTCAGAGGGCTATGGGTGAGGGGTTCCTTAGAGCATGGGCAATTCACAGGCAGCTGCATCACTGGGAGCCCATCCTAGAACAGGTGAAGATTCTGAAAGCTGACACCCTGGAGCTTCCTCAGTGGCTTGTAGGCAGCTAGATGGATAGGAGTCTCCTCTCTTCGGCAGCTCCTACTGCTTATATAACCTTGTGAGGGACAGAGCTCTGCGTCCAGTCAGTTTCAGGGACTGAGTGTTAGTGAGCAAATTCCAGAGGGAACTGCTACACAGCTGCCCCTGCCCCATGAAACACGGAGGGAAGGCAGCCGCCTGGAACCTTGCAGGCCCACAGCAGAGGCTCAGTTAAGAATAAAGCCTAACTACTGGCACAGGATAGCCCAGGTGGTACGAGGAGGTGAGGCGAAAGACTGCCCTCTGAATGTAATTCCCATCATCATTCACTACAGCTACTATCCCCAAGAAACACTCAAGGACCGGCCTACTGAGCATCCCACACAGAGAGAGGAGGTGGGAGATGGTCCTTAGGGTCTCACCTTAGATTCTGGCCACAACCTTCTGGGCCCCTCTGTTCTAATTCTGTCTCAGCTGTGTTCATGGATAGAGGTACTACAGTTCACAGTGTAAGGTAACCTGGTGGGGGTGGCTACACCCATGTTTGGGCGGCCTTTTTGGTGATGCAGCTGTTTGGGGGTCATCCATATTCCTACGAGTAACCCCTCATCTCTACAACTGAGCCCAGTACGGTTATTAGTGTGCTCAGCTACATTTGAGCAGAACTGTTATTCTGCTCTGTTGATAGTGCCCTGTCTAGGGTGAGCACATCTTGGGAAAAGTTACAGCAACACGGTGCTGGCACACTCAATGCTCCCAATGCCCATGGGTGACATGATGGCCCCACTGTGACAAGGTCACAGAGGCACAGAGAGCTTATGGGAGAAGAGGACCAAGGTTCTACCTGCCTCTCCATACTGAAAGGAACACAGGAGGTTGGTGGTGCTCACAGCCCCACTAACTCAGGCGGTCCAAGCACTCGCAAGGGGGCTGGTCTGGGGTGCTGGTTGACAGAGAAAGGCTGGGCCTATGGTGAGAGGATAGGTATGTGGGTGTGTTGGGCCTCCAGTCTACAGTAGGAAGCAGCAGTTCTGAGTCACACTGCAGGCCGGGCAACCTTAGCCTCAAGTGACTGCAGCACCTCTCTTGTTACTGCCAGGATGAATATCTAGCAGTGAGTGACTAGGGGGGAATACTGTGTGGTCCCCAAGTAAGTCCCAGCTCCAAGAGGACCCAGGGACAGAAGGTCTGGTATTCCACGTGGAGGGGCTCTGCCCATAACGGGTGTGTGTCCTCTGGCTGTCGGCACTTACAGGACCACTCCCAACCCATCTCCCAACCCTGGCACGTACAACAGTGGGAGGAACTTTGCCATGGTTAGAGAGCCCAACGTGCCAGTCATAAGCAAGGGGCTAGATCCACAAACCTCCCTACCAAGTACAGCTTCTACATACAATCGTGCACACAGACAGACACGAAGCAGAATGACAGGTGCAAACAGGACTGTAACAAAGAAGGTAACAAACACAGAGCCCTGATGAACAGAAGTCTCTCTCAGGGAGTTGTTTTGTTGGTGCCCCTAAGATGGCTGTACTCCATCTTGGCTCAAGGGCAGAGTTCAAAACTGTCCTCAGCAAGTCGTAAGACCTAAAGGTCAAAGGTGGCTACAGTAGGATGTCCAATCTTGGCCTTGGCTGTCTTATTCTAAATAACAACAGACCTGGTCTGAGGTGTGGTGTACTCCTGACCCAGTTGAATCTAAGCTGTGGTTATTGAACCCTTGGAGAAAAAAGGAAAAGTCTGTTTGCTCCATATAAATGTTACCATGTTCCCCTTTTTGGTTAGGGTATGTAAGAGTGGTGAAAAATAAACTCGTGGCATTCAGTATTAACTGAATTTGCCCTCCTGATCCTATCCTATGTTTCTGTCTTTTCCTTTAATGTCTCTAGCTAACCTTTATTTAGTCCACACTCCCCCTCTCAGGTACAAGCCTCGGGCTGCTTGGCTGGCTCCAAATGCAGCCCGGAAAAGACAGCTCTCCACGTTTTGAACCAGGACTCCATAACTGAACACAGTACATAGGAGGTAAAAAGGCTTTGGGGTGAGAGGGAACATGACAGGGACAGGAAAGTCAGAAGTGACCACTGGGGTGAGGATTTAAACTGTTACAGCCCTTGGAGCCTGTGGGGACAGTGCAATGGAGGGTGGCCTGGGGGTCAGTCGGGCTCCTGGAAGGACCGCTGAGTCCAGGACTGTGTCCAGTATCTGGACAGAAGACGGAGTTCCCTAGGTCAAGAGCAGACCAGGAGACATGCCTACTGTGAACTGTTTACCTAGGCCATCACTTAAAGGGAGCCATTACTCCACAGTGACCCTGCTGGATTGGGTGGAGTGGGCTAAGAAGGGTGTCTCTCCCATGAAGGTGCTGCAGGGCCCAAGAACACCCCGTGGTGTTTTCTTCCCAATCCCTCACAGCAGCACTAGTCTGTGATGTGGTCGCTTAACTGTGCATCGTGCCTGATATGAACAAATGCCCAACATTCACCTGACCTGCACACACCCTAGATGTAGCCCTGAGGTACCCAATCACCACAGTGCACATACCATAAAAAGCCACAAACCCAAAGCGCACCTGGATGTCCACGTCCACACCTTAGGTACCCAACATCCCCAGGGGGCCCACCCAATGTGCCCGCATGCCTGAGGCGCCCACACACGGGGTGTGCACACCGAAGCACCCTCAATCCCCAGATGCCACCATCCCCAGGCCCGCACCCCCCCAGGCCCGCACTCCCACCCCCCG